TTTTACATATATTTTAAAATTTTCTTTATCACTTATTTTACATAGCGTTTCAGGAATTTGATATTATACAACAAATGCTTTTACGACTTTTACTGGGTTTCAAACTTCCTTTCTTATAAAGTTTACTGAACGTTTTATGACTAGAAGAATGCGATATGTATTCTTGTCCATAGAGTACTTCAAGTTCTGTTTGTTAACATAAACATTCAGCTAGGAAAAAGCTTCGTTGCTGAATTAGGTAATGGTTTCACTAATTGTTCCATTATTACAATCTTATCTAAATAACCTCCACTTTCAGTGTCCTTACCTTTGAGTTGCTGGCAAAGCTGTAACTTATAAGCTAGATAAAAAAATTAGTTCACTCTTAGCGGTTTACGTAAGTGTGAAATTTGATCTGATAACTGTAGCACAAAAGGTAAAAGAATATACAATTAATTAGTAGTATAATTGAGAAGGTTACATTTATATACCCTAATGATCTATTTAAAAAGTCAGGTATTTAAGCTTAGTTTAAAACAATAAATTAACAAGCATAATTAACAAGTATGAATGTTCATTCTAAAAAAAATCACGGAATTATTATTGCATTATAAGAAACTGCAGTTTTATTACAATTAATAAGAATAAGTGTAGTATATTTACTGATGTTAAATTCGAATATACAAGTAATATAGAAAGTATATATTTAAATATTTTTATTATTTATAGTTACAAGTATTTCTTTCTTTACAGTTGGCTACACATTTATTTAACTAGAAATCAGCTATAGTTGATCCTCAGCTGCTGTAGTGGCTTGTTTTTAAGCTCCTATCTATACTAATATAGTATGTTGTCCATTTTGTTTTCAATGTCTTAAACAAGTACAAGGGAAATATTTTTTTATCCTTCTCGCTCATAGATCCTACATTCTCAGAAATAAAGTTAAGCCAATAATGCAGTTGATGAAATTAAAGACATTCTGCATTGCAACTTGCTTTCACCGTCCAGGATTTCATGAGCTACTTAGAAGTAACATTTTGATTCATAAATACTTCACCAAAGACCTTCTAGACCAATAGTTCATCATTTAAACTTTTGCAGGGGTGGATATAAAGCAACATAAACACTTCAATAGTCCTGATAATACATTATTACATAGGTACAAATACCTGCAGTCCCTCGATGTAATTACCTGCCGTGCCCACTCTCTTTAGTTAAATTATTGAATTCAGGATGCTTTCATTCATTGTATTCAACTTCATACTAACTCGTAGGAGCTAGTCACCGTTATCCATCATCATGATGCGTCCAATAAAATGATTACCTTCATTCTGAAATTGTCATAATTTAGTCGAGAAGTTTTCTGAAAGTGCCAACTGTGCACTGCGGACAGTTTATAACTTCCCCAATGTGTTGCAATTTTGCTGTATTAAAGGATGTTGAGTAGAATATGGACCACGGTTTTGTGGCATACGACTACATCAGCGACTAACTCCCTCCCAATCAATCGACGATCAACCCTTTGTTCAAGCGTCTATATTTATGGGGACGATCAATCAACTCGGAAATTTTCCTATTCAGGAAAGATGAAATTGTTTTTATGGAAACATATTACACCTCAGCTTTCAAGTTTAATGGGTAAATTAAAATATATTTTTACGTACATCCTCTTCGGCAGGTTAATTCACTCTTGTCGTAGATTCCCCCAAAATCAGCCGGCGGGTCGAGGTGGAAAAAGATGCCAGATTCTCTGCGAACAACATTCTCTGGCTGCTTACTGAACCCCTAACTCTTCACACACCATCAGCGGGGGAAAAACGGTTGCATACGGTTAAAAAAGAGGATGGTGAATATATGGAGACATACAAGGGGAAAGGGTTAACATTCATAAAAAGAGTCAAAGATATGAAAAGTGTAGTTTCCAACCTGTGGTCGTTCGAAATAATGTCGATCTCTAACAGCATCCCTTATTTGATGAAACAGTCGCACCAAAATACGATATTGCTTCAAAGCATCAGCAATATTTTTCTCGCATAAACATTTTTGTGCACTACGACGTCATGTAATTTCGTTTTTCATGCAAGAGTGTTGTTATCGCGTTATAAAAAGTTTTTCAGGGCGCTTGTTCTTTTACTCCTCGCTTCGACCCGCCTCACACAAGTGAATTAAATAAAACTGCTGTTGTTTATTTTACGTCTTTCCTGGTCTGTCTGCTATCAGCCCCAGAATACACTATTGCCATATGGTGATGTATGTCACTGCATGGTGGCATAATGACTAACTTTTACGCAGCTCTTTTCTCATCTAAGAATTTCTGAATTTTGAGGCTGATTAATATACTTCGTGTGGCTCAGTTTTGGAAACTTTCTGAGGTAAAGTCTTCTCGATTCTGTCCAAGGGCTTAAATAATTTTAATTAGGCTTAATTTTTATATGTAAGAAATGTGTATTCGGTGCATCATTCTAAATACATTCGCAGTTAAAAGCAATTTCCTTCATTATCTTGAAGACTTGCAATAAGAGCAGTGTTCCCAGTTACTATACCTTTCATAAAAAAAAAAGCTTTCTCCTAGATACACTGGTGTGCAAAAATTAAGGACGAAGTCGAAAAATTAGCATATCAGCTGAACGAAGCGGCAGAGCGGACGCAAAGACCAATCAGGAGATTAAGTAAGGTGATGTACGTTAGCACATGCGCAGATATGCAGGTAGACGTAATGGGGGAGTGTCTGAGTAGTATAAAGCATGTTGTCGGTGTAAGATCAGTATTTCTGGCAAAGAGATTGCACGCCGTATAGCAGTTAAAATCACACCGAGTTGCTGCCTCAGCGAGAAATGGCGAATAATCAAACTGTTAGACGACATCTGGATGCTTTTACCCGAGGTCGAATCATTGGGAAGTTGGAGGAAGGCCGCAGTGTGACAAGTGTGGCTGCAGAAATCGGAATTGCTCACAGCATCGTTTCACGACTTTGGAGACAATTTCAAACTACAGGAACAGCTATCCGGGGGTTTAGTAGTGGTCGTACACGAGGAAACACACCTGCAGATGACCGGTATATTGCCTTACAGGCCAGAAGAAACAGGCGGCAGACAGCGGGAGAAATCGCTAGACACACGACATAGGCGACTGGACGACCGATATCGCGTTTTACCGTGGCCAGAAGACTGCACGGTGGTGGTCTGTTTGCACGACGCCCTGTAAGGTGTGTACCTCTAACGCCTGCCCATCGGAGAAGGCGTTCTCTGTGGTGCCGGGAACACCGGAATTGGAGAGACAATGAACGGGGACGAGTACTCTTTACAGATGAGAGCAGATTCAGTCTGAGTAGCGATTCTCATCGCATACTCATCTGGAGAGAGCGGGGAAGCCGCAATCATCCCTCGAACATCATTGAAAGGGACAGGTATGGAGGTGGCGGTGTTCTCGTTTGGGAAGGCATCATGCTTGGTAGTCGTACAGACCTTCACATCTTCGACGCAGGTTCAGTCAACGTTATTGTAACGAGATTCTTCTTCCATATGTGCGTCTTTTTCGAGGCGCTATGTGTCGCAGTTCCTTTTCATGGACGACAATGCACCATGTCATCGCACAGTAGCTGCCGAACATCTCTTAGAAAGTGAGGATATTGAACGTATGGATTGGCCGGCACGATCTCCGGATCTCAATCCCATCGAGCATGTATGGGATTTTCTAGGCAGACGCTTGGCAGCTCGTACCTTACCACCAGTAACGATTCCGGAGCTTCGATTGGCGCTGCAAGATGAATGGGCAGCAATGCCTCAACAACTCATTGACACCCTCATTCTCAGCATGGGCAGACGCTGTCAAACCTGCCTAGCAGTCAGGGGAGATCATATCCCCTATTAAAGACCGGATGTTTCTTGCTGGACACCCATCACAGGGATGTTTCGGCCTTCAGTCGCATTGCGCTCCATGCTACTTTTTCAATAAAGCTTCTTTTTATCCCTCTGATTTCTCTTTTTAGTGAGTGTTGCTTACATTACTCATGGCCTTACGTATTGGGGATCTTACGGTATTAAATGTGTTGATTTGGAAAGCTTTTGTACAAAGTTATATTGAAAAACCGTCTCGTCCTTAATTTTTGCACACCAGTGTATATCTCCACCGTAGACAATCGTATAGATGTGGATGAAGCTTTCCATATTTATTGGTGACAAAACAGAGTAGATAGCGTCATTAGGTTACTTTTAAGCAGGAGACATGAAAAATTAGCAATGCTCTCGTCGGGACTCGAACCTGGACTTCTCGTGTGGACTCGTTCGTGGACTCGAACCTTCATAGTGTAACTCTAGCACAAGCGCAGAGTGTGCTAGTTACACCATGAAGGCATGCTGAATGGAGTTAGAGAATACTTTATAAGGTTTTGAACGCAATTCACAATATATAGATGCATCACTTTACGACGGGGCTTGAATTTCCTTTTATTTTCGCTATACTATAAAATGTGTTGGATTAATTTATGCATCAATTGAAAGGATATTTCGTCAATAAATCTAATGAGGCGAGATTTATTATTTTACGATGATTTTTGAGCAGATGCTGGAAATTAGAGCACATAAAAATGAATTAAATCTCCTGTTTTCAACGTTGTTGTAGAAGTTTTGTTAACTAGTGCTACTAATTTGAATTCAAAAACGTTGTTTTGCTATAGATGTAACAGAAGAACAATGAAAATAACGTAAAATATTGATTAAATCATATCTCCGAGTATGAATTTATAATAGCATAATCAGAAAAACCTCGATTTTGAATTTGAAAGAATTTATTTTGTTTTATTGCTTGTGAATGAAAGTTTTTATTTAGACAAGAATAAACTATATTTTCTTTCTATTTATGAGACATTTAATGTAACGGAAAAGTGTCAAATGAATAAGTTTAAAATCCTTTCCTCGTTGCTGCGTGAAGAAGAGCTAACGAGAATTATATAAGTTAGAAACAAATGTCACACTGAGAATAACAACAAATGGCATACTGAGAAGTTAATGTTTATACTTTACCATGGAGAAGTTCTGAGCATTAGGCCGTCTTCTAGCATCGAGTTCAAGTAAACTTTGCAAAGGCTCTTGAAGGTGATGGGGCACTCTATCCAATAAATCATTTAAGTTATTCTCTAGCTAAGAAATAAAACAAAAAATGCTACTATTAAGAAGACATAAACCATGACGACAGCATATATGTTTTCAGTTTAAAATCATATGCCATAGAAAGCTCACCACCCACATTGAAAACTTACAAAAGTTGTTGCGAATTGTACTTAAATATGATTTGTATGCTAAAAAAATGCAAATAGCGTAATACCATTTGAAATGTCTACTTTTTTGCCTTTGGGTAAAAAAGTGCTTAGATTATGTTTAATATATGGTGCTTGCTTAAATGTGACTTAAATTCATTCGATGCTAATTAAAATATTACAATGGGGAAGTAATTTCAAATTCCCTTCATTTATACTTTAAAATTGAATACACTTTTGCTCAGTAAAACAATTAAACTCGTGTAAGGATTATGTTAATTTTATTAACAGTTAAATTTTAAGTTCCTTTCCTGTCAAATTCTTAACTTCAACTTACTACTTCCGGCTAGAACGTAGTTTTGGAATATTGCTGAATATTTAATGAGGAGGAGTGGTATTTAAAGCACGAAGTTACTTACAGAGTGAGAGAGAATCAGAGTTTCTGATTTACGCGCGTCTGCCTTTTTGGCCACTCTCTCTCTCAAAGCTGTTATTACGCTCGGCCGTACTCAGGCCCTTGCTAAGCTTCGTAGTCAAATAAGTTAAGGGGGCCAACTCGATTTGAATCTTGATAGCTTCGGCTATATTTCTTTAGTTAACCTTAGTTTTAGTTTACTTCTTAGTCTCTTAAGTTCAAGTTCAAGTGAGGGCTTTGTTTGTACACTCCCAGGCGGAGTTTGTTAAATCGTATTGGAATAATAAAGGTTTAGTTACCCTTATATCTTGTTGTTTCTTGTCATCCGAACTTGATTATTCGCTTATCAGTTTTTAATATTCTTCACTTCCAACATTAACTTAGAATTACAAAGTGAGGAACTCTACACTCGAATAAAAATATGACGAGTAAGGTGTAAATACCAAGAAGAAGATTTTTTTATCATATTGGATGAATCCTTCAGCAGAAAAAGAGACTTTTTGTATTGGGTTCAAAAGCTGAGGGGTTCCATATTGGAAGAAAATATACATGTTTGTGGAGAAAGAAAGGGCCTATAAATTAAATGTGATGCTGAATTTAAAATTATGTTCTTGAATACATGTCAAATCTTTTATTTGATGTAATTAAACTTCCGAGTGTTCGATTTCCGAAAAAGGAGCTTCAAGACAGATTAATGGTTTTCTTATGTGTAATGTGATTATTATTATCCATTTTTTCTCAGAAACTGCTCTTTAAATGCATTGTTTCCTTAGAAAGATGTGCCTTTCGATAGTAGATCAAAAACTAACTACAAACAATATTTTATTAATTTAAAAAATATATAAAAATTTCTTTAGATGTATGATGAGTGATTAAAAATTTTCATGAGGGCCCTTTTATTACAATACTCTTGCAATTCGTTACGTTGAAAATTAATATTTAATGATACCGTAACAAAATTCATTTGGCCTGAGTTTAGTGCTTAAAACAGCTGTATCAGATGAAACGTTTTGCATCCACGATTTTAATAGTCATCTTTTAAAAATCGATGAAGTGTAGTCAGCTTAAAAAAATTTTAATTAGAAATAAAAGTTCACATTTTTTGAAATAGTTCACCCTATTAGAAAAAGGCTAAATTTACTTCCTTTTTGTCCAAAATTTGAAGCTGGAAATTTGTTCTAAATCTGCCGGAAAATCTCAGCGAGAATCAAAACGTAAATTAAACATGGTATTCGGTGTCTTATGACTTGAGGCGTCTTCCAAAATGATCAAGATGGCGAAACTGCTGCTTATACGACTTTTGATTCGAGTGGTCGCTTAACCCTTTGCGGCACAGTGTGTCCGGTCTGGACACACCTAAAAATTTTCCTTCTGTACGCACAGAAAAATTGAATGAAAAAGGATTTATAGGTTACTATAGGCTACTTTGAACTTTTTTATTTATAGTAGATGACAGCTCAACACAAACCAGTCCATATATTTTAGCCATATTTAGTTTTAAGACCCTCATTTTTCAAAGAAATCTTCCAGAGTTTTTAGGGTATAAAAGGAATTATTTGAAAAGAAATTTCTATGTTATGTTTTCGGCTCTATGCTAATCTCCTTATTCTATATTAGTTTTAAATTTTTACCTTGAAACCTTATCTAAAATCAAACAGCAAACCCTAGGTGTGCTCAGGCCGGGCTCACCGATAATCTAGGACAACTAAGAGTCTGTATTCTTTGTTTCGCCGCATCAGATCGGTCAGTTCATTGACAACAATGCTCGCTTCAGCACTCTTTTCGAAGCTCTATTCAATCAGTGTGCCCACTGTCGGCACACCCACAGAATAAGTGCTATCTCCACAAAACTTTACTTGTGTACTCCTCTAGGCATAATTAGACTGCCTACCTTTTTTTTTTTAAATCAAAACTCCAACTTTAAAAGGTAGCGTGCCGGAAAGGGTTAAGAGACTGGCGCTTTTCAGTGAAATCATAACAAAAATTTACGCTTTATATTTATGTATTTTTTGTGAAAAAAGGACAAAAATGTTGTAAAATATGCTTTTTTTCCCAAAGTATTTTCCAACTTTGTTTTCGTTTTTACAATCACGTAAGATCTCTGTATGTGAAAGTACTGAATTCTTACTTGATGACAAAAAGAGAGCTGATACTTTCTATAATGCTTTATACGGTAGAACATGCTAACTGAAAAAGAAATTTATTTTCAATTGTGGACTCTGTTACAACATTCTTAAATCCGTCATAAGTCGAAAAGAAAAATTGCAAGTAAAGCAATTTCTATCGAATTTCGTATTATGGTACTTTTGTTGTTAAGATAGATAGCTGAAATGACTACATTTAAAATCACTTTTTATCATTAGAGCATTTGCAGCTATTTTTCAAGACTCAAATTGTGTTAAAAGCTGTAATTAGTTTTAATAATGGAGTCCCTTCCTCTTAAATAGAATAGTACTGAGAAGAGATGCCTTGGTTTTAAAAGAAACTAGTTCACATTCACGATTTACATGAGGAAATCCAAAAAAACTTCCATGCAACCATCTCGTTTATCGGGATTCAAGTATAGATTAAACTACCAATGTACAGTAGTTTTACCGCTCACACACTCGAGGTTGCTTATTATAAAATAGCAAAGTTTGATAGATGATCCAAAGGCGATTTTAGATTTGCGGAATTTACCCCAGTTACAGAATTTAACAATCACACTTCGTCTTTGTTTTCCTTTCTTCAAAATGGGTGATGGCTTTAAACACCTTCTTAAACATTTTGCATTTAAAATACACAAAACTGTACTTAGGTATTAGTGCAACTTCTTCAGCAGAAGTCGCCAAAATTAAGTGTTGTAACCATGCGCATAAAAATTCTTCAGAATTAATAAGAAATTGTGTCATTTTCACATTCGTTCTTTTTCCACATTTGAACAGTACAGAAAAATCGTGATATAGTTTTTTATCTTAAACTCTTTTAAAATATACGCTTGTGGGATTTGCCTGCAATGGAACCTTTGTGGTATAACGTTTGCAGGAAAACCGCTAAAACGAAAAACTGATTTGAAGCTATTCTTAAAGAGGTCATCATGACGTATGGAATAAATATTTTGAATTATAGATCATCTTTCTTTTTTATGCAAAAAGAATCTCCAAACTGAGCTAAAAAGGTTGAGTTAATACGTAAGTACCCCAAACGTTGAGATAATGTTATGGAAGCTCTACTTAAATATAAATAAAATCTTTATTTGCTGAATTTTTTACCTTAATTAACTTTTCATTAGTATCCATCATTCTGTCTACAAGAACACCAATAATTTTTCTAATTTTTAGTTTGTTAGAATATTCACTATATAATCGGCACTTACAATGCGTGCGATAACCTAAAATAATTATGTTGCATATATGTATTTTAAAATTATCATTTGTTATTTAAAAGACATATAGAAAAACACTAGAAATCTGTCACAACAGGTAGAAATTTAATACTTAAATCTAGAAATTTATGTATGTCGGCGACATAATGATATGTCCCTGCGCAATTAAGTAAATGTTAAATATATTGTAAAACTTTGAAAAGCAAAATTCCAACAGAACTGAATTTATAGCTGCTGGCAATTTGTTAAAATGTCAATACTTCAATCAAATAAAAATAAATTGTCCTAAGGAATTTTATAGGAGATTCGATTCCTTAATTTTCGATTTAGAGATTTTATCTTCTGTCGCAAGATATGTATCCATTTTTGCTGCTTGCTCATAGCTTTATCTTTGCAGATTTGATGATGATATTACAATGTCCTCAAAGCGTTCACCATTCATATGCGTTTGTTCTGGTAAAGTGCTCTCTGACAACTCAAGAATTTTGCCAAAACTTTAAGTCTCTCTAAAAGTGAACATAGTATTACTAAGACCCCAATCTTCACAAAGTAAATTTTAATAGTCTGTATATCATATAGTGTGGTCGAAATATAATGTTCAGATCTTGCGTTTGTAGTGAAAATACATAGTCAGTATTTCAAATTTACACAAATCAGTATCAAAAAGTTCCGTTTTACTGAATATTCTATTATCTAGTATCAAATTTAAAATCTGTATTACTATAGGCTAATGACCGCATATGCTAATTGTTTTAAACTTTTGAGGAATTGTCGGTGTGAGAATCTTTTTAATCTAATGAACTCATTTTTATTCTCTGTTGAGTTTGAAAACTTTCTGGAATCAGTACGAATTATCAGTACTAAAGTTTACAGCTAAAAAGTTATAATCAACAAAAATATTAATTTTTGAAAACTTCAAAATAAGTCTCCAGTTTAAAATAATAAATAAAGTCTTTAATTAGAGAACAATAAAATTTACCAGATTTTCTATGAATATAGTCAACAGATTTCTGCTTGCAAATTTACTTCCTAACTAAAAAACATGCGACATGATTCTAACAGCGTGATTAGGAATTTCAAATAAAGGTAAAATAATTTCAAATGTCTTCCGCCTTCATTGTGTATTACTAGGTTTATTTTAAATGCTGAATTTATTCAAGTCGAATTTTGTAAGACAACCTTAGTAGAAAAGGTTTCCCATATAAGTTTTGGTTTGAGAACTTAAAATCGACATTTTAATCAAATCTTGCATTCTGTAATTTTAATCAAATCTTGCATGTTGGTGATCAGTATAACACTGATCACCAACATTAAGTAATTGAAGATGTGAAACATACATGCGTTAATGATAAAAAGGTTGAGGAAGTACATTGCATAACTTTGTGAGTTTAAGTTGAAATGTACAGAAAAATTCATTCTTCCGGTTAAATTATAAGGTATCTAGTAAACATAAGCTCTATATACTCTAATTAGAGAATAAAGTTGCATAAATATCTAGCAAATAATACCATATCTGCTATATATAACGTATCTACCAAATAAGGTCTCTACTGAATAAAAACTAACTGCTAAATGCAAACTTATTTATAAAATTATTATCTCTATAATCATTATATACATATGTACTAGATTTGCCAATAAGTATTTGGACACACGCGATAGAAAAATAAAACAAAATTTATCCAAATTCAGTAATTGATAAAGCCACCACGAGCGGCAGTTACAATCTCAACCCTTCGGATCATGCTTTTCTCAAGTCATAATATGACGTCTATTGGAATTTCTTTCACTAGGCTTGGAGAAGATAAACCAGTTCCTTCACCGAATATTGGACGGTTGTTGCACCCCTTAATCCAGCGATCCAACTCGTCCTAGATAGCGTCCAGGTCTGGGCTTTGGGCAGGTCAGTCCATTCGGTTAACCCCATAGACATCATACCAATTCATGGTGGACCTCGCAACATGACAGCTGGCGATATGGTTCTGAAAGTAACATGGGTCCAACCCGTAAACCTGCCACAAGATTTCGATCTTGTGGCAGGTTTACAGGTCACTGTCATCCAAAATAGTGCGAGCACACTGTCATCCAAAATAGTGCAGTAAGCGTCGGTGTTCAATTGATCATGAATTAGGACAAATGAAGAAATCATACCAGGAGAAACATCCCCAGATCATAATTTCACCTCCCCCCGAAATTTACTGTCCACACAACGCATTTCGGTAGGAGGCGTTCTCCACAGGCAGACGTCAGATCCAGACCTGCCATCCAAACGGTAGAGGGTGTATCTTGATTCATTGCTCCAATGAACTCGTTTCAACTGATCCATAGCTCATTGTCGGCGTGTTTTGCACCACATTAACCGAACAGCGAAGTTGGACGTTTTGATCAAATGCTTATGGGTAGCAGCATGACCGTGAAAAACAAGCAGATATGCTTTCTTACGAATGGCATTAATCGAAACAACAATCCAGTTTGCCTTTTGGAACTCCTGAAGTATGTGGGCCTGGGTGCCGTTCTTCCGAATTTATCTGGATAGCACCCTTCAGTTCCTATCGCCCACGTTCTCGGGTCTGCCGAATTGAAGCACATTCCAATAATCACCCCCTCACCTTTCACTTCTGAATCATATAATCTACTGTCGAAGTTGGGTAATTTAGCTTACTACATATGTCCCTTAAGGATCGGCCATTTTTGCACTACCCGAAGATTACCCTTTCTCGAAATCGAAGATTACCCTAACTCTGCACTTCGTGGCATCTTGCATGCCACTAATGCCAATGTTGTTTATTACACGATACTTAATGGTGGAGGGCAGGGCGTATATCAGGACCGCAGATATCGGCATTTGTATGGGTGTCCAAATACTTATTAGGAGTTAGTATTTATATAAACTGCTAAGAAACACGCTTTTTTTATAGCAATCTGAGACTGAAAATAAACCATTTAAAAGGAAGCGCTTATGCTGCTGATAATATTATTTGTGATACTACTGTGATACCAAATTTAATTTAAATCAATGTTACGTCGTCACAACTAGGCATCGGGTTCTTTGTTGGAATAAGAAAATGTTTCCGTAAGATATTCATTTCCATGGTTTAGACAAAAGTTTGTGTTTTTCCGAATAAAAAATACGCATAAAATTATTCGCCGCTGAGACAATTAAACAGCAATAACTTTTAGCAATATTCATGCTACCCAATCGGTATAGTGGTTAGCATCGCTGACTGCCGAAGGAAGGGCCCGCGATCGAGTCCCAGAGAAGGTATAGTGTCGGTGCAGTATGGCGGCACTCTAACTGTGCCGTGAGCCGAAAGTCCCCTCGTGGATTGGGCTGACTGCGTCAGATAAGTGAGCATAAGCAACAACCACACAAATATTCATGAAGGTAAGAAAGGTAATTTGCTACAAAAGTACTTTATCAAAATGTGTTGCACAGTATATATGAAATTACACATTATAAATTTGCATAGTAAATATTAAAAAACGAATAGGTCAACGCACTAATCAATCGTACTCGTGTGATATTTTTAAGATACAATAGATCACTGATTGTGACAAAATTATGATAAATTGAAAGGCGAGGCTAGAAAATCTATTTACTAACTATATTAAAGAAAGGAGAAAACGTTCCATTTCCTAGCGACGTGCTCTAATCTTAAATATACGCTTTGCATGTGTATGCTACTCACATCACTTTGTAAGATAATTATTCAGAATATATAGCAGAATATATATTAATCCAGTTATAGCTTTCATTCTCCCATAGAAATTATAAGACGACGTCTACAAATTTTTATGTATCGTCGAAATGAGTTAAAGTAAGGATTTGCGAATTGCATTGTCCCGAATTAAATCTCACAAATTCTCAGACATATCCGATTATTTACTACACTTATATTTGAAAACCTTGGAAGAAAAAGAGTGTTTGGATGTTTGACGTCATACTTCTTTGTTACAATATGTGAAAAGAAGGATTTATTTCTTGCACCAAACATATAAACTGTACTTATATATCACAGTAACAAAGGAGTTGAAATAACATGGGGATTAACTTAATGCGACAGAAACAAATTCCCTGGAACGGCATGAAAGAGTGAATGTATATGTGTCATAGTTCTAACATTTCCTGTTTTTCCATGTATTATATTTTTGTGTTTTATTCTAGACCAAAACAGAAAGGAATGAAAAATGTGGTTGTAAAAACATTATTTAAATATCGTTTCGTATAAATTCGTAAAATAAAGTACTAATTAAAAAAAACTCATTACAAACTAATAAAAATTATTAAAATAATAGAATAATTAGAACAAATTACTGAAATTATTACATTTAACTACAAAAATGAAACGCAATTTCAATAAAATAAACATAGTAAGTTTCATTTTATGCATGTTTTGGTAACTGTTATAAAAATTTTTCATATAAATATCAAGAACGTAAATTGACACAAAACTGTATCAGCATATTATTGCTAAAATATATTCATTAAGAGTGAAAGTAAAATTTCTCTTACCATTTCCAGCTGCTTTTGATAAGTGGCACAACTGAGGTTAGCTTCAATTATAGAGTGGCCTCCGTTATAAAGAGCACAAATAACCAATCCCAAGGAAAACATATCACTCAGAGGACTGCACTTTGAATTGTTTTGTATCTCGGGAGCTGTATAATCTAAATCCGGTTGACCCATTTTAGGTAGTTTGGATGTGAAAGCTTGGCAAGGCACCGGCTTCTGTAAAAGAACAAAGAGCTTTGTTATAAAAGATTTTTGGTGTTTTTATGTTTAACAATAAAATTACAGAAGTAACTTGGATGCGTTCGTAATCAGCTCCTAAATATGATATGTATAAATTCATAAATATAGAAAGAGCACCGAATACTTTTATTGTTAAAGTTTAACATGAATGAAGTTTAAAAAAGTAACTTTTTTATTTTCGTTTAACAGTTTTTAATTTCGTTTAACAGTTAGACGTGTAGAGTTCTCCAATTTGTAAAGGCTAAGTTGCTGTTGAACGTGAAGAATCTTAAGAACTGATAAGCGAATAATCCCTTGAGTTCGTATGATAAGAAAGAACAAGATAGAAGGGTAAATAAATAACCCTTTATTATTCAAATAAGATTTAACAGAACTCCGTCCTGAAGTGTACAATAAAAGCCGACACTTGGGCTTGAACTTAAGAGGCTAAGAAGTAAACTAAAACTAATCTAAACTAAAGAGATATAGCCGAAGCTATCAAGATTCTAACTGAGTTGGCCCCTTAACGCTAATTGACTGCGAAGCTATCAAGGGCCTAAGTACGGCCGAGCATAGTAATAGCTTACGAGAGAGTAGCCTAGAAAGGCGGATGCGTGCAGACAGAATACCTGGTAACTCTCTCGCTAAGACCTAAGAACTTCGCGGTTTAAATACTGCTCCATTAATTACATAATGTTCCATTATGCATTCAGACGTGAATCTAAAACTATGTTCTGGCTGGATGTAGTTAGTTGAAGTTAATTTGACAGGAAAGAAGTTTAACTTAAAATTTAACTGTTAATAAAATTAACATAATCCTTACAAACGAATAATCTGCTTATTTTTAGAAGCTCTAAAAGTTTTAATGCGTTGTCAAGCAAACGGAATTTACTCATTTATAATTAAAGACTGACTATTATGTTATTTCATATAACACATATAATACGCTCACAAAATTTTGGAAAGGCATACACCATTTCTTGCTGCTTTATCAACAATGATATTAGCAGTAATCAAGGCTGATTCCTACAGAAGAAACAATAAATAGTCAGGTTTAAATAATAAAATCAATGATTCCCTTGCCGAGATTCCAACTCCGGACTTCGCAATTTATAGCCGGACATCCTTTTAATTGCACCAAGAAGGCATGCAGTAAAAGCGACCGCGCAGAAGGGGATTCAGGTCCCAAATCTAGTTGTTGACTAATTATCATACATCACGTTTTTGCTTGAGTACAGCCCAGACGGGACAGTGGTTAGTGAAGCTGATTGCCTAAGAAGGACCTGGGCTCGAACCACGGAGAAAGCATGGATGTTCGTAAACGTATAGTGTCTGTGTGACAAGAAGGTACTCAAGATACACGGGGAGTAGGAAGTCTTCTGGAGAGGCTGATTGTAGGGAAAGAAAGATGAGAGACACTCGGACAGCCTCCCCGGGGTATTCTCCCTCAAAGCTGGGACGGAAGCTTAAAAGCTGGGTTCAGCACCTATGGTAACTTCATATGTGCTGATCTAATTTCTACCTGCACCTGTTGTAAAAATAGTTTTTTTAGAATAAGATAAGATTCCCATCGCTTGTGACTCTATGATTATGAAAGAATTATGAAAGTAACGACATGACTATTAAAAAGATCTATTGAAATTTAAAAATTCACAGAAAATATACGGACATTGCAAATCTGCCCTCTTCTTTTTTTCATATGGGCAGAGGAAAGTTTATCGCTGATGGATGCGTGAAAAAATTCAGGTTTTCCCGCAGAGCAAGTTCAAGAGAAGTAATAAAGGTGTGTGTGTGTGTATTTAATTATGACAAAGCACACTAGGGCTATCTGCCTAAGGGGAGGGATGCCTTCGTGGAGGACTTTCTAAGGGAAACTGACTCGTATACACGTTACACATGGGGAAAACCACGAAAACAACCATGCAGGCAGCCCGTTCGCGGGATTCGAACCTTGGACCGAACTACCAACGTTCAGCAACTTTACCGCTCGGTTGCTGGTAGGCTGGAAGTAATAAACGTGTGTGTGTGTGTGATTATGGCAAAGCCTCGAGGGCTATCTGCCTAACGGGAGGGATGCCTTCGTGGGGGACTTTCTAAGGGAAACTGGCTCGTATACACGTTACACATGGGGAAAACCACGAAAACGCCCATGCAGCCAGTCCGTTCGCGGGATTCGAACCTCGGACCGAACTACCAGTGTTCAGCGACTTTACCGCTCGGCCGCTGGTGGGCCTGGAAGTAATAAACGAGAAAACGTAGTAAGTTATATGTCTAAGTAGCAGTGACCCGTAAAACGCGCACTGGCAGATACACACGCTTTGCAACAATATAGCACTATTATTATTATTTTGTTATTAATGTGGTTAACAAATTTTGTATTAAAAAAACCTCTCTCTCGGTTTACGTACAAACCGAAACTAAAATAAAACTAAAATATCTGTCACTAAATTATACAAATAATTAAGTTTTCAGAGGATGGGATATTCATATCACGAATTATACACTAACGTTTTAAAAAAGGTTCCATGCGAAATTTATTCTGTAAAAGAAATGATAAAAATTGTTTCCTCACATCTGTTGAAACAATGCGAGAAATTCAAAGTTTTATATTCATTTTGGCACTTTTTCTCATACATATGTCGATAAAAAGCAAATTTAGGTTACTAATAAAAGTAGCAAGTAAAGCTCAGTCAGAAAATAATAAAAATCCAGATGTGGAAGGTCAAAATTTATGTCAATGTTCTCGTTTTGTTAAGCCTAAAATTTCTTCAAAGCGTTCTGAATCTTTATTTCTAGGTTCTTCGGATACTTCGTTTTCTTTTTTCTGTAGGAGAATCTGACCAGTGGTTAATTATTCTAATTGAAACTTATGTCTCTGGCACTGCTCAGTTAGATATAGTCCAGTGAAAATCAGTGTACTCGGAAATGACGGTAGACAATTTTAGGTACACTACGAAACAGAATTTTTTTAAAAATCAATTTTTAATGTAAGCAAATGGAATTCTATTTTTGCTAAGAAATACGTATTGCATGTGGGAAAATTCTTCAGTCTCTATGCACGGGAATATATCCTGGCCATAAACCACCAATGGCCAAACGGTTAAAGACTGCTGAAGACTGGTTGTTCTTCCAGGGTCTCAACCCAGATGAACGGGCTTGCCACAGGGTTGGTTTTAGCGAATTTAACCATTTGTAACGCTATACAAGCCAGTTTCTCTTAGAACGTCTTCCACGAATTTCTCTTTCCCTTAAGCAGATAGACCATATGTGCCTTGCCATATTCAAATAACAAAACCAAAACTTCGTGATCTATATTTTTGCAGTCACTTGTCGTAGACATACATGTTCAGTTATAGAAATGTTTTAAATGAAGAAAATATTCAAGTCATGACACTTTTGATCATATTCAGAAGTTGTATTATATTTGAGTGCGAAATATTTGAATTCGTTCGTAAGAACAAAATGAAATATGATTTTTTTCTAAAAAACGATTGTACAGTCTCACCTTCTTGGGAAGCATACACTCAGTAGGGACTACAGAAGACTGAAGCGAATTATTGCTTACTTTGTAAGGAAACAAATAATGTAATGAGGGTGTAAAAGTCCCTTTTATTAAGAACTCAGATAGTTAACAGAGGGCGCTTTTTGTGCTTAGAAATCTGGCCAACATTTATGGCATAACTCAAAGGATAGAATTTCAAATTCAACTAAGTTAAGTCGTAAGTTAGTCAAAGGCTAAGGAGAAATGATTAACACGCAAGTTGGCTCAAACCTATACCGGCGGGACAAGCACTATTGGCAAGAATAAAAAGCAATGCGGTGGCTGCTATAGTATAATGATTTCGTTTCAATGCTTCCGATTTACGATTTCCAAATATCTGATTTTACGATTTCATTTCAATGTTTCCGATTGCATTTGTTAAATTGAATTCTCCTATATTTCGATTTATTTCCATTTTGATTTAATTATTTCGTGTAACATTGCGTTGGAATTGTGCCTTGTCGTTTACCATGACGTTCATTTCGTGAGTATAATTTTTTACTTTTTTCATTTCGATTTTTAAAATTTTCTTTCCCCATTTTTTAGTGCGGATGGCGGTGGAATTGAGCTGTGTCGATTGATTTTCATTTGAATTCAAATTATATCGGAAAATTGATTTCTTCGGAGTGATTTATTCGAGCGGAATGAAATATTTCGTTTCTCACTGCGTTGGAATTTAGCTGTGTCGACTGATCTGCTTTTGAAATGTTTCGTTAGTATTTTCTTTTTTTTAGTTCACAATTTTCTCTTTTTTAATGTTTCGCAACTTTATATACTTTTGTTATAACTAACTTTCTTTTTTTAGCGCAATCGATCTGCTTTAGTTCATCAGAATAATGCCTCTCAGAAGATCAAACTTAGGTTGTCGTACTCGCGAGCGGAGGCAGTGCGACGAGTAACTGCAAATCAAACTGAGGAAGAACGCGCATCAGCGAGCGAACGAATCAAATAAGTGCCGAGAAAGCTGAAAAGCTATGTGCAGCCAGACGTGAGGATGCAGGATTGTGAGCCCGGCGATCGTGTCCTGCAACTTCAGATCTGCTTAGTTCTAAACTAAATGAAAGCAACAGGCTGAGAGCGGCTAAAAGATGTCAACGAGAAACAACAGATTATCGTCAATCACGGCTCCGCGCTCAGTAATCACGCGATTACATTCGCCTTGCATTCTCGTACCACCCAGTTGACGACTATAGTTTGAGCAGGCATGGTTTCATCGGCTCTGTGACTGAAATGTGTCCTTATTGCAAGGTTCTGTAATTCAATTGAGAAAGGAAGGGAATGTGTTGCGTTGCCCCCCTAATTAATTATTAAACTACCTAAACTACCTAAACTTGGAAAAATTAAACTACCTAAACTTGGAGAACCACCAGAGGCATTAAAACCTTTTCTTGCCGGATATACCGCTGAATCAAAGCATTTCCTGTCTAACATTAGGAAATATAACTCATGCCTCCAA